CACTCACGTCTTTCACGGCGCAGGCACCACCCGTGCTCTCCCCGGAAAAGAAAACAAAATTGAAAAAAGAAAAAAGAAAAAAAAAGCTGTACATGCTTGATGACGTCGCGGACGTGCCGGGAGAAGGAATTTGGAGGAAGCGGAAATGCAGCCGGGCAGTGTTGTCTGGCCCGCACGTCTCATCCAAAACCAGCGGATTCGTGCTTGTCAAACTTTGACAGCGATTTTAATGAACTTCTAGGCGGAATTCCGTCGTAATATTTGCCATGGGGGTTTTGTTGATGATAACAAAGGGAACTGTATAGTTTTGCACTACTGGAAAAGAAGCGGAGTTGCCCTTTAATGCCTATTTGAAATGTACAGCTTGGGTGCACATCCATAGGTGAAATTACTAATTTGTTGTCTCAAAGAAGTCAGGTCTGGACCTAATTTATACGCAGGATGACATATCTACATCCAATAAATGCCACCAAAATACCATATAGCTTCACCAACTCCTCGGAAAACCCATTGGAGCGGCGTCAAGCGCGACAGTGGCGCCTCTAGCGGACTTGGAATCTATGGAAGCAGACGACGCAATGGAAAAGTATAGGCTCCGCGTACTTAAACGTCCCAGACGTTTACATGTGATTTACATGCACAAAATCTGACCGTGACAAATTAAGCACGTCGTGATAACCTCTATCGAAAGCTTTCTTGAAATCCAACTGAATCGTGGCCACGCGGCTACCCCCACTGTTTCTAAAATCATCCTTGCAACGTGTATGTTTGTTTGTATGTACTATCGCGGACAATATGAGCTGAAACAGCGCTCCGGCCGGCGGACGGTACTACCTGCGCCGCCTGTCGCCTTGCTCCGCACACATGACGCACCCTGAATGCGAGACAAATTCTCACTTGTGCTCGCTGCGCCACTGCGCTCTTCCGGCCGTCTGCAAGCGAGACGGCGGGTGCGACAGCGGGCATGTGTGTGGTAGGGCGGCGGGGGGAACAAAAGACTTCACTTGTCGTTCCTCTTTTGAAATTGATTAACTTTACTCTATCACGCAGAATCCCGTACAAAAAACACTGACTGGTGAAGAAAAAATATTGAAGTGTCTTAAATTTCAGCTGCGATTATCGTTTTTGAAAGTCACATCAAAAGACGTTGGAGGTTGTTGTAAGCCGTGAGAGAGTGCAGGCGAGCTGGTAATCAATCGACATCTTGTAAACCCTGAGATGGGGAACGATAAAAAAAAACGGACGAACACAACAAAATCTCAATTGATTATAGGGGCATGCACACAGTAGGACATCATAAAATATAGGCCAAAATCTGTATGCCGGATTTAGTCCGGCTCTAAGGTATTTTTTTTTTTTTCGTTTTCATTGATCACAGATGTTTTAAGAAAATGGTAAGCCGACATGTTACTGACTAGGTTTTCTAACCTTGATTGGTATGAAAAGGTTCAAAAATATAATTTCTTTATTACTGGGCCCCACCTGTTTGTTTCAAACAAAACAACTTGCTGACAAGACACCAGTTTTTTCGTTTACAAATTCCTCGTCTTAATAAAGTGAGACAAACAGTCATATATTTTCCCGAAGATGGAGATATAAACTTAATCGAAAGAAAATTTCCAGACGACAATGTAAGACACAAAAGATTAATAGTTGGCGTGGAAGTTCATGGATCAAGGAGTCACCACACAAACGTATGCGTGGTTAACGGCGTTAAACAGTGTGTCGCAACCGTAGCATCAAGCTTTGTTCCAATCGGCAGAAGTCCGGTTCAGGGGGTCCTGAGGCATAGTAAAACTTACAAAATAATTTAATACCGCGTCATTCTCCTTTGACCCGCGACCACGGCTCTCTTCCTGTCTGGTAAGAAATCATAAAAAGCGGCCACGAAGTCTGGCTCAGCCCGACGCCACTCCCATTCACCTCTGATTGCTTTCCACAATTTGTGGACAGTGGCGCGGTGGAGGGGACGCCGTGATATGGCTACCTGGATGCGCCTCCAAATGTTTTCGTTGATATTCAGATCGGCTCCTTTTGGGGGCCAAGGCAGCTCCGTCAGGCAGCGCTCCTCGAGCAGATACGAGCGTGACAACGCATTTTCCACTTCGGCGCTTTCTTGAAATGCGCTGAAATGCACGTTATCTGAAAACGTAAACATTGGGCTACACGGCACACGCATCGTGATGGTGGTTCCGTCCGTCGACCAATATTTTCGCTAGCAGACGGCCGGAAGAGCGCAGCGGCGCAGTGAGCGCAAGTGAGAATTTATCTCGGCCTCAGTGTGCGCCGTGTTTAGGGAGCGATGCGACAGGCGGCGCAGGTAGTACCGTGCACAGGCCGGAGCGCTGTTTCAGCTCATATTGTCCGCAATAGTACCTCTCTTGTATACCTCAAGTTTCGTGATCTCTAATGAGGTCGCAGATGACTCTCTGTAGGCGGCGCGTAATGACTTTGGTAAATATTTTATAATCTGTATTGCAGACTAAATTGAGCCTGTAGCCTATTACGCAGCGCTTTTTCTTACTTTCTCATCCGATTTTGGTATAAAAATGGTATGGGATTTTAAAAATGACGATGCCAATTTATGTTTTTCGTACGCTTCTTGAAATACAGAAAACAGTAAGGGACTAACAGATTTGGTTCGGGCCCAAGGAGGCCCGAACCAAGCTGGGCTTTGAGTGAAGCCTAAACAGGATGCATAAATGGGGACCAGACAGGCCTTCTTTAAGTCGCAAAAAGGTGCCTGCCGCATATTGTTGAGTAGCAGGAGGTTGAATTTACTACGCTGTTTTTTGCTCGAAATGAGCTTCATTCGCTTTTCTTGGTCCCGGGTGTTGTTTGGGTCTTGAGAAGTGACAGCCCCGCCCCTCCTTGCTCACAACTACCACGACCGATGTCATAGACAGCAGCAAGAATGAAAGAATGCATGAGAAAGAGCTATTAGTGAGTTTTAGTATGCGTATACGAGCGAACGCAAGCCCTGTGCGTTTGCGTTAACGTTGCGTGTTTCACACTGCGCGTACGACGGAGCCCAAACTTCGGCCTTGGAGTGGCGCATTGCAACTTCGCGCATGCGCAGCGTGGAGAACACAACGCTAAGGCAAAAGCACAGCACTTTCGATTAATCGCATACGCAATACTAAAACTCACTATTAACGGCGCTTACGTTTTCAGCTTTGAATGGGGAAGCTGCGCACCCTTGTGGTGATAGCTGGGAACTGATAATTGGGCAGGTATTATACCCTAGGCCATGCACAAACATGTTGTATAGGAAATTCGTTTCACACATTTATTTATTTATTTATTTATTCCGGGCTACCCCGCAGCGCCCGAAGGCATTGTTGCAGGGGGGGGGGGGGGGGGGGGGGGGTACATAGGTGTGAAGGTAGAAATACACTCGCGCATATGTACCAAAAAAAAACAAGAAAAACGCAATCACGCAGGGAAACACACTTAAACAAAAGTAAGCCCAGAATATGATAAAAGAAACATTTGTTACTCGCATTCCAGGTACGTGCCAGATAAAAATATCAGCTGAGGAAAATATGCCCTAACAGCAAAAATAAATAACTCTCGCATGACGCGTGACACAGACGCAAAAAAACAAAATAAAAAAAAAACACACAGATGTAGTTTTATCAACTCTGTTTCTTTTTGTTCTTATTCCGAAAATCTTTGTTTTTAATCCGAAAATGCGTACAGACAAATTCCCACATCAGTGACGAAATATGCAGCGCACGTAGCTGCCACGCGAATGCCCATGGCTTCAAACCCAGCCGACTAAGTTTTTTTGTTTCTTTTTCTTTCCCCTTTTACTGCAGTCTCCTTATGCTCCAGTTTATTTTCTGCAAATATCGTGCCCTAGTTTATAACCTTCCTTAGCGCAATCGTGTCTACGCATTCCCAGCGCCTATCGTGAAGGCGAAAAATGCCAGGTTCTCTGAGCGTACGCCTTGTCGACTTCTGTAAAATGTCAGACACTCAGCATGCGTGCCCAGGTCAGTGGCATGGTACTTTTTGCTGTGTCACTGTGCTACCTCAAAGCAGCTGTAGCGTGAAGCAGCTAGCATCTATCTCGAAGCAGCTGTAGCGCGCTGCTTTGAGGTAGTCGCTTTTCCGTCGCGGCCGCAGATTGTACGCGGTGCCACTTTAGTTTTTGTTGCAGGCACAGGTTTTTATCTACTTGAGAGGCGCCACTGTCGCGTTCGGTGAACGAATGCGCTCTGTATGGGCTCTGTTGTTTCCCACGTTCTGTGGCGTAAGCTTCACATTTGTCCTGGAAACAACCATCACACCGGGTGTCTAAAGGTCTTCGCTGCCGACGGACATCGTTTTTTTGGAAGATTGGATCACCGCCTGGGGCTTCCACCAGCCGGTTACTCCAACCGGGGCGTGGCCGCCCGCTAACCCAAACCCAAACTTCGGTGCACCGCGGCGGGGCGGCGGCGGCGGCGGGCCCAGCCGTCTTCTCACCCGCTCGGCATCCCTCTCGCCATCCGACACCTCCATCCCCGAGACCCGGAGCGGCGCAGTGGTGAGCATCGAAGTAGACGGTGAGTCCATCTCGCCTGAAGAAATCACCGAGGAGGCCGGGTGGCTAACAAGCCATCGTCAACGTGCACGTTGACGATGGCGTGAGGGCTCGGGCGCCATGGCGCCCGAGCATGGCGCCCGAGCCCTCGCACAGCTAGGTCTGACCCCGGGACACTCCCATGGTCAGGAAGGCGCTGGCTCCCGGCCTACTAACCGGCAGCCACGTGCCGAGAAGCAAACAATTCGGAAACCACGCCTGCCGCGTCAGCCGCCCTTGCCCAAGGAGGACATAAAGATCGTGCTGCGCCCGCGAGAGGGGCTCAACATCACAAAGATCAGCCACGCCGAGTTGTGCGACGGAGTGCTCCGTGCCGAGTTGTGCGGGAGTGCTCGGCTACGACGAAGCGGCGGGATATCTTCTCAGAATCAACCCGGCAAAAAACATCACCGTGGCCAGCACCCCCAGCATGGAGCATGCGAGCAAATACACCGCTGTCAAGGAGCTCCGCTACGGAGAAAAATTCTACAACATCACCGCTTATGCGGCGCTTCCCGAGGACACCGTCAAGGGGATTGATTGTTTACGACATCCCCGAATACGACACCGCTGAGGATATCACAAGAAGCCTTATCTATAAGAAAAATACCACGATTCTGCAAGCACGAAGAATGGGCCGGACAAATTAGGCAATCATTGTCTTTGAAGGTACCAAGGTATCGTACTATGTTTACTACCACGGCGCCGAATACCGCTGCTTCATACACAAGAAGCGGCACGAAGTGTGCGACGGGCGCGGCAGGCTCGGCCATCGCACGGACGTCTGCCCAGCACCCGAAAAAAAGATCTGCAAGATCTGCGGCACCAAAGTCCCGTCCGAAAACCATCATTGTGAACCCAAGTGCGCACTTTGTGGCCGGGATCATCCGACCGGCGACAAAAAGTGCCGACCCCTTTTCCAGACTCCCTACCTTCTCAAGAAGCGGAAGTGGGAAAAGCAACAGATACAGAACAACCGTCGACGACCACAAAAAGGCTTAGGCAACCCAGCCTCGACGCCGTCCATACTCAAGAAAAACGAACCCGCGGAGACACGCCAGGTCAGCGCGGTAGATCGGGCTCCTTCCCACGCCTCCCGCAGTGTGAGCGACAAAGTAGACGGGACGTGAGTCGCGGACCAGGGACCAGGGACAGCTCCGCCAGCAGTCAACATCGCTCGCGCTCGTCGTCGCGGCGCCGGAGCCCCTGCATCCAAGGCCGCCAGAACCACAGACGCAAGTCAAGATCCCCGTCTCGAAACAGAAGGCAGCGAACCGGAGGCAATCAAACAAACAAGGTGAGCTGGGCAAACACGGAGTCCCACGGCAAAACCTCCCATAAGCGCAGTGCCCCTCCGAAGGGCGGGCCTAGCTCAGAACAATCAGATCAACAGTCCGATATTACCAAAATTAGGCAGATGCTAGAGCTCGTCATCTCAGAAAATAAAAAAAACTCAAAGCCGAACTAGCACAACTAAAGGGAACTAGTGCCGACTCAACGCCATCATCTTCCCCCTGCAACCTAGGCCAGGCCGCTAAGAAATCAGGCCAACCTAACCAGCTAGCCACGCCACCTAAGCAGTCGCCTCAAACCCCACCCGAAAACAGGCCAGGGCGAAAGCCCTTTACAAACTATACGAAAAGTCCGAGGACGTGGTGTACGTAGATGCGGCCGATTACGCGAGTCGCGACGCCATGGCCTTCGTGGTAGTCAATCGACAGAGAAATTCCATCGCTTCCGGCTCGCTTCGCACGAGCGAAACGGAGGCGGGTGAAGAGACGGCCATTGCCCTGGCAATGACGGCCTCCACGAAAATCAAATACGTAGTGAGCGACTCCAAGTCTGCCATTCTAGATTACGCGAGAGGACGAATCTCACCAGAGGCGTCTGCAATCGTTAAATCTGGCTTCCGCAACGACGCGCGGACCGGCAAGATCTACCTGATATGGGCACCTGCCCACTCCGACCTGGCCGGGAACGAATGCACGCACGATGCCGCTCGAGGCTTCACCGACCGAGCAGACATCGACCCTAACACCACATTTGCGCATTCGCTCCGATGTTCGGGCAAGGATCGGCTCGTGTCCTACAGGGACATTACAAATCATTACCGAATGGGGCAGGGCCGCTTTCCCCCCGCTCACTCATCACAGAATAAGAGGCAATCCGTAGTATGGAGACTTCTCCAAACGAATTCGCACCTAAACCCGGTTACGTATAGCTACTGCTACTCAGGGCAATATTCGTACAAATCCCACAAATGTAAAGAAAGAGCGGACCTAGCACATACGCTATGGGCTTGTCCACAGGCGGTGGCACCAGGTCGCAGAATCACTCAGGTAGAGCAATGGGAGACCGTGTTGCTCAGCTCCGACCCAGCTGATCAAAACTGGGCCATCCAGCTGGCCGAAGACGCTGCTAGAGCCCAAGGGCTCTTGGCCGACGCCTAGGATCACCAGCTTCTCAATAAAGTTATTTCCCTCTCTCTCTCTCTGCAGGCACAACGTCGCCTCGTGAAACTTGTATTGATTGCTTTACATCCGCCTGTTTTTTTTATATTCGTGACACTGTGACACTATAAGGTGGTATAGTTAACAAAGGAAGGAATACCGCTGCGAACGCTCAAATGAATCCTTGGTGGACATGCTGAAGACCCAAACTTGTAGCTTTATCAGACGTGGTCTCCAAGCACTAAAATCCTCTTGTTAAATCCGACGCCTGCCGGACGGTTTTTCCATACAATGTTATGTATAGTATGTTATTTTATTATCTTTAAGTGTTTTATGTCGTTGTCATTTTTTTTTTTTTTGGTCAATTGCAGGTTTTTCTGGAATGGCCTATACAGAATTCGAAGACGTCATCGAAAGCATCGGTGGCTTCGGCAGGTTCCAGAAGACATTATTATGGCTTTATTTGGCACCGGTGTCCCTGTTAGTTCCAGGATACTTCTTCGGCCTCATCTTTATGTTGTCGGTGCCTGAACACTCTTGCGTTCTCCCGAGTGCTATGAAGAGCATGAACCTAACAGAAAGCAAAGCTGCACATCTCCGGGACCTTGTAGTAAGCAGCGACAACTGTTACCTGTCCATGTCCGCTTTCAACGCCAGCTTCATTCAAGATTACCTTCGACACGCTGAGGACGAGAACCAAACAACGCCGGCATTACCAGACAAGCGGAGGGTACCCTGTACGCAATTTACGTACGACGACACAGAATACGCCAGCACCGCTGGAACGAAGGTTGGAATTTTTCGGTAACTCTTCCACCGCGTGAGCCGAATGAATTTCTGGCCCTTTTAACTAACCGTATAAATCGTCTTCTTAACATAGCAAGCCAAATTTCGCTTCATAAGTGGTCCCAGACAGGGCACTTTATGCATCAACATTTGAAATCGCCACTTACCTGCGTAATGAGTAAAAATGTAAGAGCATTGTTTTGCGACCTACAGCGTCCGTCTGCTAAGAAGAAGCGTCTGATTGGCACAGAAGTCGACAGGTAGATTCTGATAAGGAGGGGCACATAAAATTTATCTACGATAGCAGACGATGTATTTGAGTCAAATGTGGCTCGGGCCCCTGAGGTGTGGTGCATAATTTGATTATGCACTATAACAACATTTGCAAGTAAGTTTCATTGTCGGGCTATTTTTTTATATTTTTTTTTCGCGGAAAGTGCCGCGTGGGGGGCAGAGATAAAGGCTTGGTGCCTGACAGAGCACAGTGGCAAATACATCATAGGACAAAATGCGCCATTTACCAAGCCGATCTGTTAGAAGAAATAGACCGAAACATTTGTGCAACATTCTAGAAATATGAAATCGAAATTAGAGTTTCATATACCATGAAAAATAAAAATAAAAGACACTGACTACCGAAAACGACCAGGAACAAAGACATATGCTTTCGTTGTGCAAGACAAGAAATACAAGTATACAATACATCACACTAAAATCAGCCAAAACACAGTGGTATTAATAATAGAGCAATAAAAGATTTTCTCTCACACTTAAACATCAAGAAACAAAGGATGGAAATACGCACAGAAATGAAAGACGTATTTATAACGCTCATGAAGTTTACAAAAACTTACAAAGATGAAAAAGCAATTTCACTTGTCACGAGCATCCTTCTACAAGCACATTTAAAGCAGGTTGATAGAAATCAAAGTCAAATTTGGGGGTTTTACGTGTTAACCAACCACGGGCATCTGGCACGCCCCAGCGGAGGGCTGAGGATTAATTTCGACCACCAGGGGATCTTTTGACGTGCAAACGAAAGCCGGGTTACACGGCGCCTTCTCCGCAATAAGCCTCCGTATATTGCGGGCACCTCGGTCGGGATTCGAACCGGCGCTCTCGCCTCGGAGCCAAAGAAGCGGCTTGATAGAAATCTACGGACATATATTTTTTATTTATTGTTTAATTTATCTAGAAATTTAGACTTTGTCGGCCATAGTTATTTCTTATTGCCGGCATCTTTCTTATTGGGTTTCGAATAATGTTCGTCCTCAGATTGTATGTTGGTGAGTGTGGAGCTTGTTTCTGTGTAGCAATTGCAATAGTTTGAAATCAAATACTTGATCTGCTTTTAGCAAATTATATTTATGAAAAAGTGGCTGCATGCTTAAATTTCTTCTGTTTCCTCTATAATTTTCATACATACGCAAGACTTTCGCTTGCAACACAATTAGTTTGTTGCAATTAGTTTGTGAATAGCTCCTTAAACCAAGATGCCATTGCTCATTTTTGACCAAAACAGGGAGTGGTATAATTTTTGTTTAAACCAGGTCGGTAGTAAATTGTGTACTTTTTATATGCTTTCAGTAACTCGGGACAGTTCAGCCTTGAGCATATTAACATGAGCTGACCAAAAGAGGTCCTCGTGAACCACACCCCCAAAAATGTTTGCTCTGAAGCGTGATCCAGCAACGTGCCTTCAAATGCTATGTTGATAGTACTCTGATCGCGTTTGTTTATCGGCATAAAAGTAACTTGTTTTGTTTTACGGGTATTTAGACCTAAGCGACTTGTTTCTTACCGTTTTGGGAGTTTTAAAAAATAATTACTGGCTAATTTCTCAACGATATGTTTTGTCTCACCAGCAAAAAAATACATTTGTGTCGTCTGCGTACATTATTACCTGAGGGGAACCAGGCATTTCCGTTATATCGTTTACATAGACAAGGAATAGCAGAGGCCCTAGAATAGAGCCTTGAGAACGCCATGTTTTTTTTTCATTTTGCTAGATGACTCATTACTTAAGCATACATATTGGTAGCGTTCATTTAGATAGCTTTTAATTAATTTTAGCCCTATTCCTCGTATACGGTACATATTAAGTTTTTTTTTTTAAGTAAAACATTGTTTGTACAGTGTCGAACGCCCTTTCTAAACCCAAAAACAATTCCAGTGCGACCAATTTATTTCAATGTTTTCAGCAATTTTATCTTTTATGTCGATGAGCACTGATTCTCAGACTTTTCCTTCTGGAAAAGATATTGAGCAGGAGTTATTATATGAGACACTTGTTTTAAAAAAACTGTTATCCTGTCGTTGAGTACACGCTCGAAAATCTAGGAGAAAACCGGGAGTACTGAAATGGGCCTATTATTATTGATTCAGGTCTCTCCGCCACCCTTGTAGACAGGAGTTACTTTCGCAATGTTTAATTCATAAGGGAAATTACCGCACTTAAGCATCATATTTATTATGTGGGATAAAAGAGAACCTATTATGTTCGCGGTGTACTTAATTGGTAGCACCTTTATTTCATTGTCACCAGCTGCAACATCATTTTTTAGACTACCCATTATCTTATCAATCTTAGTTGGTGTCGTTGGAAAAAGCATGATAGATTCCATTTGATTTCCTGCCACCATGCAGTTATTTCAGCTTGCATTTTTTTTCCTGTGCACGAGCCTATGCTGACAAAATGCCGATTCGTTCTGTCAGCAAGTTCTCTGCCGACGACACTTTTGTTATTTATCAAGATTTCCTTCACGCTGCTGCGTATTTGCTTCCTGCTCGTTAGGTAGTTAATCGTATCCCACACTTCCTTGTCGTCATTGTGAATGCGCAGAAATTTATTTTGATAATATTCACACTTTGCTTTTTTTTAAGTCGGAGTTCAATTTGTTTCTAAACTTTTTGAAGTAACCCAATAGAGCAGAATCACGACTTTTTATAAAAGCATGATACATGCAGTTTTTTTCTCGTATTCTTTTATACAGTAGCCAGTTATCCACGGTTTTCTAATCCTTCTAGGCCCTTGCTTACTTTCCCAGAGAGGAAAAGCAGCAGCATAACAGCGTTTGAATTCCGTCAAGAAGCTTTTATAGGACATTATAGGATTGCATTCTCTATAAACGTCGACTCAACTTTCCCACTCTATTAGGCAGCCAAAAGTACTAAGACTTTCTTCGTTTATTATGCGTTACCAAAACTTTTTCCTACCACAATTTAGTTTCCCATTTGTAAGACCTTATACAGAATATGGGCAGATGGTCACTAATATCGCATAAGAAATTCCACACTCAGAGACTGCAAAATATTCCGAGGTTGCCAGCCTTATCTTTAATACTTCTCACGTTTAGATGTATTGTTGAAAACTGTCCATCCGCTCCTTTATACTTTTTTATTGAATGCTTAGCAATCAAAGTAGTCACACTCTGGCTGAAATTCTTCCATCATCATGTCTTTGTGTGTTATCTGAGGGCTTAGTTACGTCTCAGTTCCTTATTTTTGCACATCAGTCCTGCAAGCGATTCTGAGAATACTTGCCGCTTCATCGTTTCATCATCGATATATCAATTGCCGCCGTCATCCCTTGGCAGTTCCTCCTCCCAGACGTCTTTCCTTTGCAGAGGGCCGCCATTGGTAGCCAATTCACGCTACCAATTTGTTTTTATTATTTACCCATTCTAGACCATTTTTTTAATCGTGATACAGAATATCTATTTATTTATAAATACTACACTCATATCTCGAGACATGGTAGGAATAAAAAACCACTTCAAGTATACAGCAAACAACAGTCCAACAGCCGACCGTGCCTAAAAATGAACAATGGGCTCTCATGTAAATACACCTGGAAGCATAAATACGAAGGTCAACCACGTCAATTCATATATAGCATATAACAGAATGCATCATGTTCTTCCACGTCTGTACAAAATTATAGCTCGATATGTTATATGTAAGCAGGGTGCAAGATAGACAGGTGGGGAAACGAGAGCCAAATGAGTGACCGGATTGCGTCCCCCTCGGTTTCCTCTTTTTTCTGTGGCGCCATCTATGTGGAGCACCGCGAAATCTCACCCCGGGTTGGCGACCGGTGGCGACCGGCTAAACTGACGGAGATGAGTTCTCACGGATTTTGAATGGAAAACTGTCGTGCTCTCGGTTTATTTTGCGCACTGCTTCATAAAGTTCCATGCAAATCCAATTGCAAT